CACCTCCAGCAATGCAGTACACGCCCGGCACTGCATTGGAGGTCAGCCCAGGTTACGTGAGTCCCAACATGAAGTTTGAACCTACAAGCTACTGACTGACAGAAAGAGCATTCCCAACTAAGTCAGGCTATACTGTATTTTCCACAAGGAAGACAAGAGAGTGTGGCTTAGTGGGCTGTGAGCTTGAGGATACTCCGAACAGCTAAGACTGGTGCTGTAAACCGGGGAGGTTGAGGACAACCACTATGAGATGTGAAACAATATTGGCACGTCACAGTATTTCTGGGTCAAACCACACCGCACGGTGTTGGACATTTGGAGCATCTTGTGTGATTTATTGTGTCTGCTTCCTTTCCATTGTGGTTGACCTCTCGTTGCAGATGGTGGGGGTGGAGGGGGCGGGAATTTGCTCCCTGTGGGGATACTGTAATTAGAAATGGGATTTTCCCTTTATAAATCCCACCCAGACAAATCCGTAACAAGGAGAAAAGAAAAAAAAATCCCCTAATGTCTGTTATATGTTAATGGCTTATATTCTGCATTACAGGAATAGCCCTGTGCCCTGTTACTCAACTGGATCCTTCATCCATTCTGTACTCTCTCTTCACCAACCCGCTCACCAGCGCATCTCATCCAAACAGAGATGGAGTCTTGGAATTTAGACCCTGAGAACATGGATGTGGTGGTATGTAGCACTATTTTTGTTCAATAGAATTGGATTCACCATGTACTGAGGACATTTTTACAGGAAACATTTCCTTAAGAATAAATAGAATTAATTTACTGTGTTTACTTAATTCATCCTGACCAGGATGTTATCAGGGATGAAAGGTTTCAGTTTAGAAGAGAGAGGTGAGAAGTTAAGTCTGTTTTCCCTGGAAATGAGAGGCTTAGATCACAAGATTGGTTTGAATGAAGAAGGCCCAGTCATTGAGTCTGGGTAAAGAAAAATTTCTGATATCTGTCCTGAAATTGTGCTTTATATCTCTAAACATCTGTTCTCTTCTTTTATAACATGGCACATCCTAAAGTATTGTTCTGGCTTTACTTTTTCAATCCCATTTAAACAGTTTTTATACCTCTATAAGGGCCCCTGAGTTGTCTTCTCTCAGGACTGAAGAGCTCATAGCTCATTCCTCTTTCACTGGGATCATCATCTCTTCTGCACCTCCTGTATAGCCGGACACCCTGTTTATCACTATAGCCAGAACTTTCTGCAGTATTCAAGGTATTCTGACCAAAGCCTGAGAATTTTTTTGGACCTAAACTCAACTGATTTAGTTATGTACAACAACTTGAATAGCGTCCCCATGCAGAGCAGGACAGCACCTCGGAGCAATTAACAGTGGCGGAGTTTGATACTGAGCTGGGAGCAAGTGAATATAAGCATGGTCGAAGAGGAAGATCTTCAGATGAGGAAGGAGGAGGCAAGGATTGAGGGAGAGTTTCATAGTTTTGGGGAATCGTGGCTGACAGCATGGCTGCATATGGTGGAGCAGAGGGGACGAGGGACAAGGAGGCCGTAGCAGTCGAGTGGAGACAGTGGATGCTGGAGTGGTGCATAAACAGGTTGGGAAGTAGAGAGGTGCCAGGGCATGAAGCAGTTTGTAAACGAGTGTGAGGATCGTGAAATCAAGGCAGGGTTTGAGGAAAGCGCGATGAGGGTTTTCAGCTGCGTTGGGTGTAAGGTACAGTTGGTGGCAGGCAATGCAATGTAACAACAAATTACATTTGTACAGCGCCTTTCATGTCAAGAGGATGTCTCAAGGCGCTGGACAGTCAGGGATCCACACCCACAATATATCCCAGCATCCTGTTTGCCATGTTTATTGCTGTCTCACATTGCCAGGGTGGTCATCTCTGCATAGGATGTCCTTTCTAATAGAAAAATAACTAACCTTGCCTGCCCTCCCACCCAGAGGCTAATTATATAACAATGAATTCAGCAGACTGGGTTTCAAACCTGCTACCTTCTGGCCTGTATGGTTTCATGCTGTGGATTCCATTACCCACTTAGCCACCCGGTGAGCTTTGTACTGTACTAACATCAGCAAAGGCCACATTTTAAGTCAGTTACATGTTTGCGAAGACCCAGTGATTGTTTGATTCAGGCAGCTATCACACACGACTGGAAAATGTTACACAACACCAACAGCAAATAACAACAACAAAATTACATTTGTATAGCGCCTTTCACATCAGGAGGACATCCCAAGGCTCTGGACAATCAGTGTTTCGGACCCAAGCTGGGGGTCGAGATTGGATATAGAAGATTATTAGTGCAGCCCAAAATACTCAACTCACCGTGCAGCAGCTGTCTATTCATAGGGTCTTTCCCCTGCCAATTTTATCCACTTCTAAAGGCATTTTTCCATTTACTCAGCAGTCATTACTCATATATGTTTGCCCAGAAAGCAAGTGTGTTGACAAGCTATTTGAACTTATCCTCACCCTATGTCCTTACCAGTGGTGGTGAGGGGAAGAAACTCATGGCTGGATTTTATCCCGCCCTAGCCCAGGGGTGTTGAGGCTAATTGTAGCTTTAACAGCTGTCTTGCCGTAGGAGTGGATACTGTGTGTGGCTCATCTGAATACATTGAGTGGTTATACCATTTTTACATTATTAATAGCCTCCGAGTTATTATTTTGGGGGCTAGATGGGTGTCTGACACATGCAGGAACTCATCACCGTGCTTATGAATATCTAAACCAAACTGGAAATTCCCTGCATCCCACCTACACATGAAAATTCCAGAGATATTGTTGGATTGGAATCCGCACTCTCCCTGGAGGGATGCAGCCTGCTTCCCTAATTCCGGAAAGTATTAGGCGCAAGTTGGCAAAGGCCAAGGCTTGGGGATCCCAGTGTGCATTGGGAGGGCCTTGGCACATAGACATGCCCACTGCGAAGCCAACCCCAGTGGAGTCCTGTAGCTCAGTGGTTAGAGCACTCGCTTTGCAAGTGAGAGACCTGAGTTCAATTCCAGGCAGGGCGAAACCTTGGGCAAGTTTCCTTACTCCACACGCCTAATAATAATCCCTCCAAAAAACAAAAAAAAAACAATAATTAAATTGGTCATTTTCAATCTATGACTGTTTGTGGGACATTGCTGTGCGCAATTGGCTGCCGCGTTCGCCCACAAATATACAGTCAACTCACTTTACAGTATATTCTGTGAAGCGCTTTGGGACGTCCTCCCGACGTGAAAAGCGCTATATCAAATGCAAGGATTATTATTATTATCTCCAGAGTGCTTAGCGACAGGTCAGTGTAGGCCGGAGGATCTTTCCATGCTTCCCATGTTTGCCACAAATCTACCTCATTATTTGATCCTGGACCTTGCAATTGAGTCAGAGGACGCCTCTGAACTGCATGCCCAGGAGTTTGGATCCATAAAGGAGCTGTCATGAGCAGTGCCTTTGGGAATATTGTGGACCACCTGGCTCAGAAACGGGACTTTCGAGCCCACCACAAAATATTGCCTCAATTACAACATTCCTTTCGAAGCAGATCACCTCAACTCTGTCGAGCTCCAAGGAAACCCTTTACCTTCCCCCACAAAGGAAGATATTCCTTGTTTTTTTCCTCCAGTCTCTCACCCCTTCTATTCCCCTCTTCTATTCCCTGTGCCCTAGAAAGTGAATGTTGTTTTCCAAGATTTTGGGACACAAATTTCTCAGCTTTTGCCATTTAAATAATCTTTTCAATCAATGTAGTGCATTTTCATGTCATTGAGGCATTTCGTAAGTGCCTCACATGATTCACTGTAAAGTGAAGTGACTGTGTAATTGTCGAACTCTGTAACCAATTTTATGAACAGCAAAGTCCCACAAACAGTAATGACCAATTTTACCTGGCGATTGTTGGCCAAGACACTGAGAGTAACTATTTTCTTTTCAAATGGTCTCATGGGATTTTTTATATCCACCTAAAGACAGACCGGGAACTTCAGTGATGCATTGCTGCCCCAGTATTACACTGGAGTGTCAAACTGCGATCAAAGTCCCAAAGTTCGCCTTGAATTCACAACCTTGTGACCCAAGAGGTGAGTGCTACCAACTGAGCCAAGGTGACGTAGACTATTATCTTAACATTTAAGAGTGTGTAAAATTGTAGAAGTTTTAAATGCATAAGTTTTTTGTGTACTGTAGAAAAACAAGTGTTTTCTAAAATTCTAACATTTAAAATGGTCCAAGACTAACGTGAGGAATTTCAGCTCCCAATCTTGAGAATCTGGATGCAGTGTGCTGAAGGCACAGCGTGTTATCAGGTTAAAAGCAACTCTTTATTCGGTCTCGTCACTCAGTTCAAAGAACACGTTTGAGTAAATTTAGACTCCTGGTACGGAGTGCACTGATGGACTCTGAAACACTGTAAATACAACCCTGGCATCCTGACCTAAGTCTGATATGCAGCCAGTGAGTGGCTACCCCTCCCCAGTCTGACCCTGAACCAGTCTTGAATCTCAGCCAGCAGTGTACGTGTGGTGTACAGCATCCTGTCACATGATCAGATTGCAAGCGTCTGGTACTCAGCCACTGGTATACATGACCACTCCCCCTCCGACAACCCTGTCTTGACAGTTAATGACTTATACACACAATCCTCTTCTCTCCACACGACCCCGAATTACATTACATTCCAATGCTGCCAGGACAGTGCTCCATCCATTCACTGCTGACCCCTTCCTTCCCCCAACTTCAGGTCGTACCTGAAGACCATCCTCTTTGACCGTGCCTACGATCACCTCCCCCGGCTCAGCAATGCGTTCCGCCACCATCAAGCGCTCTGGGACTCTAATGCGCATGAGAGGCACTGTATGAATGCAAGTTGTTGATCTGCAGTAAGAGTTTCAGGATTCTTCTGCCCATCTTATAAAGCATAATCCAGAGGAAAGCAGTGCTCTTCACTAGTGACACCTAGTGGCCAGTTTAAAAAAAACTAAACCCACTCTGAGCGAAACCCAGGAAAGCATTTTGTTGTAAGAGAGCTACAGCAATTTGAAAAAAACACACGTTGGGGGTTTTATTGGTTTACATGAGAACCAGCTGTTACAAAAAAAAGTACTCCGTATAAACAAGACACAGGAAAACTTAGTGAACTGTAAAGAGGTAAAAATACATTCAACATCGCTTTGTGCTCAGCCCTGGTTCTATAGGAAACCAGAGCTTATTTTTTTAATAAAAATGAATTATTGAAGCATACAAAGCTGCTTGGAATGTTGTGTTCGACAGGCACTTTTAAGTCACAGCTCGTAGGCACCACTGACATTACAAAGCTCAGAGTTAAACAGTCTCTTGTACAGTTGAAGCCAGGGTACAAGCATGGCCAAGCTCGTCCCCCATATCCCACTCCCCGGTTATACAACCAGAATTTAAAAAGGCAGTGAGTTTCACTCAATTACAAAATGAAAGAGAAATAAAAAAAGAGGGGGGTAAAGAGACACTACAAAATAAATAAACTCAAATTGTTTTTTGTGTTTTTAAATTAAGTTTTTTTTATTAAATAACATAACTGAAGAGTAAAGTTACAAAAACCCTCATCATTGTAGTATAATATATTAAACTGTGGAAAACAAAACGAAAATTAAAAAAAGACCAAAAAAAGGACCTCATAATCTTAAGATTAAGAAGATCATAATTTAAACATAAAAGAAAATATACTCTATGGTTCATCATTTTTGATAAATACAAACAAAAAATGCATATGTTTGGCAATAAATATGTTCGATAAGTTAAATAAGCAATTTTTTTGTGTTGTGTGTGCAGTGAGAAGCTCATTCTGTACAGATTTCTGAACAGGCTACAAAAATTATAAACCCAGGTGGAGACAGAGAAAAAGTTGGCTCGAGTCCTCTGATGGAGACTAGCTTGTATATCTACTTCACTCTCTCGAACCAAAGAATCAAAACTATTAATTTTCTTAAAGAGGTTCTCACATATTCTTAGCTCCTATCCCTAAAATATATAGTCAGCTGAAGGCGCAGTCAGCCCCCACCCCCCTCGAGATGCCAATTCTTACTCTTTTAAAATAAAGGAGGCAGCAACTTGACTTATAATAGCACCACATTGAAGTCACCAGCAATAAAAACATCCCCAATTTCAATTGAAAAAAAATACACATTCATCGCTTCCAAGTCCTGCACAATATACTGCCACAATCTGTGCCCATTGGAATGAATAGAAAAAAAGGAAAGGGGAAGGGAGAAAAAAAACAAAGTCCTTCCTGTGGTCCTGTTCGCCTCCAGTCCCTGGGATTATAATTCTTGTTGGTGCTGCTTACATGGGGACAGGTGCTGGTAGTTTCCTGCAGCCCAGCCATTTGCCCACAAGGACTGCTTGTTATAGCTGTGGGCAAATCTTACAAAACAAATTCAAACACACACAAACACACGGTAAAAGTTTTAGTTCATGGTCTATCCTGCGCTAAAACATGCTTCCTCAGAGGTGCAGTCACACAGGAATTGGAAGGGTGCAGCAATTATTGGGAGGGAAAATGGGCAGGAGAAAAAGTTACAGATAAAGATATCATATGCAAGGAATTTTTTTGCTACATTAAAAAATCATGACTGGCAAACAATAGGATTTTACACTATTTCTAAAGATCATTTCAGTTTTTAGAAAAAAAATACTTTCTGCAAAGATTCTTAACCAACGAGCAAGAACTTCACAACTGGGCAGGTAGTGGCGGTTTTGACAAATTAAAATGACTGTCGTGTCACAAAGTGCCTCAATCCAATCGGGAGCTTAAACCATATAATTAAACCCGCCCCTTTTGTTTACTGGAGCCACCTACCCACACCTCCTCCCTCACGATCTGTCAACTACCCAGAAAATTGGCTTGCTTTTTTGGGGAATAACTCCCAAACTGTACTTGTGCTGTTAATTGCTGTACCCTTACTGTCACAGTGAAAGCATAGGCTAAACTAACTAGGTCGCCAAATGAGACTGCATTTAGCTGGCAACAGGGGGTTGACGGGACATCTTTAACCCTCAAGTTTGTCAAATATGGGCAAGTGGACCCTAATAAAGGTTTCTTATTAAATGTACTGACTGGGGGCAACATTTGGGGGGTGTGGGTGTAAACAGTTCTGCGTCTCCTTTTTCTATGTGGAGAGGGGAGGAATGAAGGCCAAACTAGTCATCTGAAATGGAAAGTCTGCTGAAGATGGGAAGCCGCTTGCTGGGGTCCAGGGTGGGGGACTCGGATCCGCTCAGGCTCCCGGAGCTGCTCAGGTAGTCGTCGGAGAGCGAGTCCGGGGGGCTCGGAGGCGGTTCGAAGATTGGGGAGGACGGAGCCAAAGGCCGAAGTAGGAATGAAGTGGGGGAATGAGGGCCGTTAGAAGAGATCATTGGCACTTGGATACTGATGCTGGGGGCAAAGAGGCTAGCCAGCTCCTGGCTCGAGTAGGTGAAGGGGTTGCTGGCGCAATCTGGCAGGGTTGGCGAGACACTGAGGTCTTCGGTGCTGAAGATGGGAGGAGGGGTGATTGAGGTGGGACTGTCCAGCAGCCCGCTGGGTGAATTGGAAAAGCCAGAGAAGCTGTAACTGTGCTGGAGGCGAGGTCTCTCCATCTTGTTGGAGGGGGAGAGCGGGAGATGGTTTTGGTCGTGGCTGGGAGACATGCGGCGTTCCTCTGCGTTATGAATGAAGTGACAGCGGGGTCCGTAGGGGCAGAATCCAATGGTGTGGAAGGTGCGGCACAGCTCGGTCTTGTACTTGGGATGCCTGGCCAAGCTCCTCAACTCATGCATGCCGTGGGCAAACTGGCACTTGTCTCCGTACTTGCATGAGCCATTTTCCTCAAAGGGCCGGCACAGTTCGGTCTTGTAGCGGCTGGAGTTGACCTGGACTTGTGGCTTCTGGAGGCACCGCTCTCCAGTCTCCGAGAAGGAACGGTCACGGAATTTGTTCTCCTTGTTCCCAAAGGTGCCGGGCTGCTCCAGCTTGAGGCTGTTGAGGAACTGATTCTGATTGAACCTGGAGTTGGGCAGGGTGACTGAGTGTCGCCTCTGAAACCCCATTGTGCTTGGGGTCCCCACAGCTTTCTTGTCCAGCGAGGTCATGTTGGAGTTACTGGTGTTATTGTTGTTGTAGCTGATCATCGTGTTCTGAGGATGGGGGTGGGTGGGGGGAAAAAGGGGGGGAAATAATGAGTAAAGCAAGACTTTAGGAAGTGACACGCCTGAGAGCGTAACCACGAGGTGGCTGTGCTGGCCGGCTCTCCCTCTCCCAGACGTCAAATGATTGAATTTGAATGCAAGTCTGAAATGCAAATCTTGTTTACATTAATAAGCTGTTTCACTGATATGGGAATGAGCACCAATCGATTATCTTATCAGTCGGACTCCGGTTGCCAGACACAGTAACTTTAATCTACTACCCTGCCGTGCCCCCCCCTTCCGCCACCCACTCTCCTCCTGTATAACTAAATAATTGGTGATCCACCATTCCTTGTGGCAAGATTAACTGACCTCCCCCCCAGCTCCAGCATTGGTAACCAACCCCCCGCGCTGCTTGGTGGAAGAAAGCTCCACTGCCAGAATCGTAAGATAGTTTATCAGTTGATTTTTCAGTAAGGAACTTATTTTCGAGGCAACATTGGGGTGGAAGTGAGCCATTTTTTTTTAAAAAAAAGTTGCAAGTTGTTTTTAAACAAGGAATGTGAGTGCAAGTCTCCAGCCGGATGGGAGTTGGGCTCCATTTTCCAAGCATCAGGTTTGCAACTCGAAGGAAGGAAGGAGGGAGGGAGGGAAGGGAAGGCGAGAGGGTAAAGAGAAGAGATGGTTGTGAAAAACTTGGATCAGGCTGGGAAAAGTGTCTTCAAAACAGCAGCGCTGAAACTCGGGGGGAGAGGGGAAGGAGGAAGGAGGGGGGGGGGAGAGAGAGAGAGAGAGGGGGGAGAGAAATGAAACAAAGTAATAAAGTAAAAGGGGTAACATTTCCAACCAGAATCCCAGCACAAATCTCTCCCCCAGACATTTCACATCTTCAACACAGACCCCTTGCACAAGGAGGGAGATCGAGACGTTATAACGCAATCGATTTAATTCTGCAATAAATGTACACGGCCAACAAGAAAACGTTTGCAGACGGAAACTAGTGTCCCTATATTAAAAAAAAAGTCAGAAATGTAAATCAACAAGCCCGGATCCACAAGATTTTTCTTAAAAAATGATCAATAATCGCCTGCTAATAACCTAATCAAATTAAGTTTGCAAACAACCTTTTTTTCCCCCCCAAAAAAACAGGGCAGCGACTGTGTGGCCAAGTTATTTCAATTTCATTTCTCGATCAAAAAGGAGGGGTGGGGGGGGGGGGGGTGGGTGGGGGATCGACTTGGGAAACTGAGAGCAGTCTGGCAGCTTGGATCAGTGCAATATTTGGGCAAGTAAAACTTTTTTAAAAAAAAGTTTTAAAAAAAAGAAAAAGTTTTCCCTGCAAAACGATCAGAATAGTCTGAATGTTACAACATGTTGCAATGCAATGCAACCCACCCCCCCCCCCTCCCTTTGGCTTTTCTGTCGCTTCCGAACAGCCTTTTCAAAACAGTTTTGTTTTATAACATTAAAAACACAAACACACACACACACACACAATCGTAAAGTTGCACTACTTTTTGTTACCTTGCAAAAAACTTCACCCAGATCGTGGAAGGGACAGACGAGTTTCGTAGACATTGTTGAGATGTCGGGGAGGGAGGGAGGGAGAGGGAAGGGGAGAGAGAGAGAGAGTTGCAGACGAGAGGGAGGGAGTGGGGGGGGGGGGGGGGGCGATGACTGAGTGATTGCGAGACAGAGAGAGACAGAGACAGACAGACAGACAGACTGCCCGGGACAGGACAGGTCTGCACGGGTTCAGATCAGATCAGATCGGATCGGGCAGGCAGTCAGACTCCGGGGTCCCTCTCTCTCTCTGTCTGTGTCTGTCTGTCTCTCTCTCTGTCTGTCTGTCTGTCTGTCTGAGAGACTCCCCACTCGCCCCTCCAACTTTCGACAACAAACTCTCCGAGGTTCGCACTCAACATCACCCATAAATAATTTCCCTTCTCTCTGGAGGCGGGTCCCTGGTATTTAAATCAGCCCGTGTGTGACTGTGGGGGGGGGGGGGGGGCTCACAAAGCCTCTTGAATGACAGCAACTTCCCCCACTGAACCTCCTCCCCCCCCCCTCCTCCTCCCCCTTTTTTTTGCAATCAATTCAGATCCGAAAACAAAAACTTTTTTTTTGTTTGACTTATTTTATTTTTTTTTAGCCGTTCGAAACTTTTCGAAAAGTTTCGCCGAAAAACTTCGGGGGAGCGTTGGCTTCTCGCCGGGGTGGGGGGTGGGGGGGAGGTGGGGGGGGTGGAGGTAGGGTGGGGGGGGGTCCACTTTTCTGCGTGTTTCAATGTTAAAAATCGTAACCCTAATTAAAAAAAAAGTTGTGCCGTTTCTTTCTTGCAGGGCAAGGAAAATGGAAGGGTTTTTTTTTGGGGGGGAAAAAAAAGAATGACCTCACTTTAAAGCAAACAGCCCACGTTGGTTACTAATTGACAAGTCTCTCTTTCTCCTTTTTGGGCGGGATTTGTGGCGAGTTTCTGAGCTGAAAACAAAGTGAGAGAGAGAGAAAGAGACTGGGTAGACGTTGCAAAACGAGAGAGGAATAGAGAAAAAAAACTGGACGGGTGGTTTGAAATTTAAAGCCTCGTGTGTGTGTGTTATTTTTATTTTTATTGCATTTATTTTTTTTTTAAAAAATCGTTTTTTAATTTTGCAAATTACAGCTGCGATCGGGGAGTGGGGGAGAGTGTCTCAAAGAAAGGGGATTAAAAGTCAGCGAGCAAACAGCCAGCCAAGCCAGGGTGGGGGGGTGAGGGGTGGGGAGGGGGGGGGGGGGGGGGTGGGGGTTGTGGTGTGTTTTGCAATGTGGAGCTGGTGTTGGTTTCCGACTGATTTGCATCGCAGAGTGTAACAGATGGCTGGAATTTTCAGACTGTTACAACGGGTTTTGGCGGGAGAAGGCACATGGCGCTGGGGGTGGGGTGGGGTGGGGTGGGGGAGAAGAAGAGAAAAAGAGGGATACAAAACGATCCAATAAATAAAGCGATCGCTTGCGATTCTACAAAGTCCTCTGCAAAGATCCAAGCGAACTGATCCACACCACACTCTTGAGAAAGTCGAGTGCAAAGCAAGAGAGAGAGAGAAAAAATATAAAACGATTCGTTTGCTAAGGTGTCGGGCAGGGAAATAGGGGGGGGGGAGAAAAACAACTTTAAAAAAGTTTTTTTTAAAAAAAAACAACACACACACACACAAAAAAAAGGTCTCGTCGGGATTCAGTCGTTTTGGGGATTGCAAACTTTGCGATCGTGGTTGAATGCAAACTGCAGTCTTGTTTTTTTTTAAAAAAAGAAAAGTTTCTTTGCAAATTTTTTTAAAAAGCGTTGAAATATAAGTTCCAGTTCAGTTTACACGCACTGCAGAAACACCATGAATGGCTGAGAATACGCCTCCCTCCCCCCACACACTCCCCCCACCCACCCCATCTACGAAATAAGTTGAAATAAGACTTATTTCCCAAATGCTCAGATCCAATGCAAACGCCTGAGACAATCCATTGGAACAGAAGAAAAAAAAACATTGACCTTTTGAAAATACAGCTCGATCCGATCTGCTGTGATCCCCCCCAAAAAAACACACACAGACACACACATGTCTTAACAATGAGTCAATTACCAATCGTTACCAACAACGATCCGACTATAAATAAAACACTTCTGAAATAAAGTTCGAAAGGAGTGTCTGAACCGCTCTGCAGTTTGAGATCAGTACAATTTTGCAAGTGGCCAACGCGCAAAATATTGCACTTTTTTGGGGGATGACCAAACCACACACTTTTTTTTAAAAAAAAACACAATAAATGAAGAAACGTCTAATCTCCGCGTGGCTGTGGCCCCCACTGAGCACCAACCCATAAACTACATTACCTCGTGCAGATTCGGGCAAATTGCTGGGTTTCTAAACCATCTGCTTGTGCTCCTGCAACAAAAAAAAGTGCATCAGGAGCTGCGATTGAACGTTAAAAACTCAACGTGCAACACAGCACAGCGACTGCCAAACCAAACCCACGGATCGGTGCATTTCAAATGGCAGCTCGTAACTTTTTTTTAAAAAAATAAAGCTTTTAAAACGATCCCGATTTACCTTCACGGTGTTTTAGTTGCACATTGCGAAGGACCCACCAAAGGCAACACCAAATCCCACCCACTCCCCCCCACCCACCCTTGTGTGGGGTTTTTTTTTTCTCTGGAGGGGAAGTGGGGGGGTGGGGGGCAAAACAAAAAGTTTGCAAACAATTTCAGGAGCAAAGGTCGCCCTGGATCTCTCTGCCCACGTCGTAAAACGTGCTGCTTCGCTGTGTTTCCTTAAGTTATAACTTTCTAGAATGGGGAGGTCCTTGGAAGGGGCGCGTTTACCATTTCCTGTGCTCACACTGTAAACAAGTCCAGCACTCTCTGGCCAGACATCCCCATCACATCACCAGCAACAGGGCTGAGCTGTTGCACCAGAATCTCCTCTCCTCCTCCTCCTCTTCTTCTCCCTCCTCCCTTCCCAAAATCAGACGGTCCTGCTTTATGCCTACATTTTCTAAATCGTTTTTTTTCCTCCTTCTTAATCCCCCCCAACACTCGTGTGTGGATTCACAGGCCAAGTGATCGTATGGGTTTAGACGGTTAAAGAGTCAGCTATTGGGGGAGGGGGGAGGCAGAAAGACCAGGCTTCCTCCTCCCAATGTGGATTCACACACACACACACACTGCAGAGTTACTGATTGATGCTCTTTCTTCTAAAAGCAGAGTCTCTGAGGTTAATCGTGGCAGCCCTCCCTCCATACAGCAAAGAGCAGGCATGTAGCCAGTAACCTGGCTGATCTAATTGACAATTTCGTATTAAATCATTGGATTCCCTTCTCTCACCCATGAGGCCCAGGTTAATTACTCATAAGTCGGACTTTGAAGGCCAATGTGCTTGGATTTTTTAAGCAACAGTTTACTGCAATGGTGGCTTGATCTCTCTTCCCCTCCACCTCCACCCCTCAGCCCGCATGATTGAATTTCCAAATGCTGTAGCAAATGTGCAGCTAAGCGGGGAGGCTGAGCGAAGGCGGGTATCTGTGGCCTTGTGGCACAATAAAGCTGGATTGGGGATATGAGAGGGAACAAAATCAAATCTTCCAATCACCCAACCTTAATTCATTGGTCCACTTAGCTCAAACCTTTCTAGATCACCTGGAATGGGATTTGATAGAATACACATGGATTTTCACCCAGGACAGTGGATCATAGTACCAGACCTAGGATGAGCTTGAGCTCTTGTTCGCCTGGTTTAATCTGACCTGACCACAAGCTCACACAACTAAAGAGAATACACAGTTAGCTTGCTTTGTAATTTCATACCTTATGAAATNAAAAAAACTTCGGCAGAGGGCTATAAGTAAGGAAAATCCCAAAGGAGTTATTGGAAATAATAATAATAATTCTTGCATTTGATATAGCTCCTTATCAAATCATCAGGATATCTCAAAGCGCTTCATGGGATATATTGTAAAGAGGTTATGACTGCATATTTTGTGGTCAAATACAGCAGCCAATTTGTGCATAAAAATGTCCCACAAACAGCCATGGAATGAGTGACCAATTTTATTTGGGGGATTGATGGTCAGGACACTGGGAGAAACTCCCTTCTCTTTTCAAATAGTGTTGAGGGATGTTTAACATGCCACTGGGCAGGTAGGTAGACTTGGTCCTCCTGACGTGAAGGGTGTTATACAAATGTAATTTGTGGTTGTAGTAGTGGAAACTCTGTTTAACGTCTGATCCAAAAGATAGAACTTCCAACAAGGAAGCACACCCAGCACTGTATTGGAAAGTCGGCTTAGACGATACAGTTTCCAAGTCCCAACGTCTGGCTTGAACCCATAACCTTCTGAGTCAGGCGAGAGTGCTACCAACTGAGCCATGTTGTGTTGGGACAAATAAAAACAATTCTATAGCTTGTTATTGCCGGCTTATGGTTATGATGATTGTGAGATCCCAGCTGTTTACTGAATGTGGTTGCGTAAGAAAGGGAGGGGTTATTAGTGGAACATTAAATCTGTGTGAAAATGCATTGTGCAACAGTGTGTAGTATCTTCTCACCTAGGGGCAGTCAGAAAACAATATATGGAGCTGAGTCCTGTAACGCCTTCACAGTGAGAAATGAAAAGTCTTTTCAGTCAGAAAAATGCAGTCATTTTGTGCCCTGTCAGCAATCAGTTCCAGAGGAACGTATAGTTAGTTTGGTCTATAACAAGTAATATAAAGTATACATCTCTGCTGAGAGAAGCTCCTGCCATGGTGGGTGGGTGATGTGGGTATAGCTTCAACTAAATTCACGTCCAAAATTCAGATTAAATGGCGACATATCTGATTGCTGTTTGTTTGATGCTGGGGGTGCAGATTGGCTTTGTGCTTGCCAAGATAAATTTCTTTTTTAATCATTCTCGTTTCGAGAAGCGTTTTGTAAATGTAAATTGCTACTGGGTAACGATCAGTGTTCCTCCCATTGACTCATCTTAAACCTCAGCTCCAATGAGTTAGCGCTGTTCTGTCACTGTATAATCCAGTCAATAGGCGAGGCCCCTGTGTTTACCTCTGCTTGTATACCTCTGCCCTGCCCCTGCTTTCCGTTACACTTTCTCTTCCTCTCAGGACACCTCACATTTTTCCAGCCCGTATATGGGCACGTTAGCTACTCATCACCATTGCAGGGGCAGAAAGCTCTGGTCGCCTCTGACCGCAGTGTGCTTTCCAGTCACCACTTGAAGACAATCAGTGGGTAGAGAGAGAGAGGAAGCGAAGCTGAGGTTCCATGGTCACAACTGCCATAACTGCGCTCAGCACCAAAGAGGGTCCTCTCTGTTACCAGGGCTCGGACTTGCCCAAAGCATTCAAATGTGGCTGAGACAAATTGTGACATACATATATACGCTCTGTGCTTCTATAAAGGCTAGTGTCCCAGTGCTATCCCAAGTATCCAGAACCCATCATGTGGCATAATCCTTCTGCCAATACTCGTAGACGGACATAGATATTTGGGGTACATGTCAGGCACTAGAGCTGTAGAGGAAATCAATCACTGGGCAGTACTCCTCTGCACATTCACCAACCCACAGCACAAACCATTTATTCTCTGGATCCTGGCTTGTATCCTATTCATATGACAGGCCATGAGTGAAAGACATTTTCAGGGAGGGGATAGTTTTCTTTTTAACCTGCTGTCTGCTCCCCTCTGTTTCCCTATTCCTCATTTTTGAAGGTTTTTGACTAAGTTGTTGTTCTGTTTCCTTGGCGCCGTTCCTACCTCACTCAAATGGCTATTGTTGCCCCTGGCAGTGAGTACTGTTCACAACCAAACAGGCAGTCACACACTCACTAACATACTAACGGAAAGGCACATATAAAATAACTTACATACGTTGACACAGGCAGAACAATGCAGAGAAATCAAAACACAAAGATGGACATAAAGACAAATTCAGACACCACTGCCCCACCCCAGATAAATGTAGTCACTCACATGAGAAAGATACAATAAAGGCATAAATACGCAAATACTCTCAATAACTTTACGTCAACAAGATTTGTGCACACACTTAACCACACACACATTCACACCTACCCACACACATGTACACTTTCCCACGCACACACACGTACACTTTCCCACGCACACCCATGCACACCTACCGCACACACATGCACAGCTACCCACACATATGCATACCTCTCCATACCACATGCACATCTACTCACATGCACACACACCTCCCCACATGCACACACACCTCCCCACACGCACATGCACCTCCCCACACGCACATGCACATCTACCCACATGCACACACACCTCCCCACACACATGCACACCTACCCATGTACGAATCCCTAATCATATACACACCTAGTCAAACATAGACATTTTCACACCTATACACATATATGCCATCAGATAATGCAAATACACCCATACCTTTAAATGCATTCATATACACTTGTCCAAACATGAAACCTATCCACACACACAATGATGCACATACCTACCCACATATGCAAATATACTGGGATTAACTGGAACTTAAATATTGGAACCAGACCGACTGCTTGTGCTCTCTATTTGCAGTCCTCTACTCCCAAGCTCGATTTCAGGTCTGCATGACACTGCCACACGTCTGCCAGCGTTACCAGTCGACCACTGTATCTAGTTTTAAAAGCGCGTTCAGAGCACATGCAAGAACTAACATGTTAACTAAGTAAGGTTACACCTTATGGCTCACTGCTGTCTCCCAATTAACGGTGGAAACCACCATTGAGGTGAAGGGGTTAACTTTTGCTAAAGTATTGCCGTATTAAAAAGTTTGTGTGATTCCAGTGAAGGAGCTGTGAAGCTTTCTTAAAGGGCGAGTAGACACTGTGTTAATGGACCAGTGTCACTGTAAAAGGAGCAGAATGGTTCAGAAATCATCGGCCAATTTATTTTGCCTCCTTAAATACAAGATGTGTGTGTGTCAGGCTAATTCTATCAACAGCAGCAGAGATTAACTAATTTAGCACAGAAAATCTCTGAAGTAGTTGATAAACAGAGTTTTAAAATAAAAAAAGTAGATATTTCTTTTCAGTATGTGGGGGGTGGAGTGGGAGAGTGCGCGGTAGTGGAGAGGGTAGGCACACACACACTGGGGTACACGCATATCTTGCATTGCATTGACTGTTCACCTTGACCAGAGTAGTCACTGAGGCACCATATAAAGCCTGCAGGAAGTCCAGTAAATGTGAGCAGGCCTGCTGCAGGCTTTAACATCTGCAAGCTTCAAAGTCTAGTTTAAGTAGGTCAGCGCTGGAGCAGCAGCAGGGGAAGTTGAGTTGCTTGTGTTATGAGTGCAGAGCAGGCCCTTGCTAAATGGAATCATGTGATGACACAACGAGTCCTTCAATCAAACACTTCTTCCTACGCTGGATTTGGTAGCCCCTGACTTGCCCGCCTAATGGCCCAAAGGCCAGGGGAGGCTTTTATTTCCTGCTTATCATTTTGTACATATAAAAAACCCTAATATTTTACAAATAGCTAAACTCAGACCCATCTAGATAGCATTAGGAGTGTGGTTGTTTTGGGAGCATTGCCAAAGTAGCTTCCAATGTCCCTACCTTCCCTTCCCAAAGGCATTGGAATATGGGTCTGCGTGCCATCCATCTACTTAATCCCTCTCCCCAAGGTAATGAGCAGTGACGCCCTATAATTACCACCAGTGTTAATGATACTAATCATTGGATTTGATACAGCGCCTTATCACATTGTTGACACGTCGCAAAGCGTTTC